GGCTTGTCATCGTCCTAGGAGACAGGGACATCACGGGAAACACAGGGTTAGGCAGGCAGGGGAAGAAGCGATGGAGCGTCTAACATACGGTACAGAGTCAGGCAAATGCTATCTAAACTTCCAGACTGTAAATACTCTTCGAGTGCTGTACTCGTGCCCGCTGGGATTAGAGACCCGGAGGCGCCTGCGTGGATCGGGGCGGCCGTGGGTGTCTGAGACGGTGGCTGCATACGTTGGCCGCTCTATTCACACACAACAGCAAGGCAGAGCGTCTGCTGGGCACTCTGTGACCCCGGGCTCAGGAGGGGCTTTAATTGCTCGCTGACACGTTACTGCTCCACTTTTCTTTTTCAACTGCCAACCTGTACACTTGTGATGTAATAAAAAAACTTCCTTTAATTTGCAAAAATACCACTAGATAGCATAAATGTCTTCTCTAGGAAAACAAGGTCTTTTCATCAGGCTCTGGAGGAGATGGCAGATGAGCAGCGGGTCATCCAAGAGGAATGACTGTTGTGTGTCCCAGTAGAGAAAGTACTGAATAATTGCAGTATCAGGCCCAGCAGTATTGGAGTGGTTTTGCAGCCGAGGTACCGCCCTGGAGCCTCCAAGAGTGTGCTGAGTTTTGCTTATGTCTTTATTTTCTTTAAGTGGCAATTGCCCTAGGAAAACCCCAGAGGAGATTCAACACAGTCAACACAATCATTTCGTAACGTGGGAGTCTGATCTCACCCGTAAGGTGGAGGAGTTTCACCTGGGATGATGCTGGGGTGATGCAGGGCTGGACTCGTGGCTGCTGGGGGAAGCTGAGGACACCTCCTTCGCAGCACAAAGCAAACCACGTTAGAACCAGGCGCAGGTTGCTTTTAGGACAGCGTCGGTCATCATGGGGATGCGGGTACTGCCAGGAGAAGGCCATGTGGCACCCTGTGCACCACAGGGGTCTTGTGGCCCTAGGAGCCGTTCCTGAAAGTCATTTTAGATGACACCAGTGTGCTGACAAGGGACAGCCCAGAGCAAAGCACGGCAGTGGGGAGGCGGTGAGGGAAGTAGCGGTGGTTCCCCAGAGAGGGTCCAGCACGGGCTGGCGAGGCCGGCGCTTGCAGAGCACGGTGTGAGCTGCAGGCGCTGCGGGGACCCTCGGGGCTGTAAAGCAGCAGTAACACACTGCTGCAGCTCACCTGCAAAGGAGACGAAGCCAGTTCTTAACCGTACATTACAGACCGGTCCTGCAAACGGAGCGGTGTGACAATAAAAAATGCAAAGGAGGAAAAGGAGTGGGGGAGCCTAACGGGTCTGTGTTCCCCTTGCCTGACCAGGGCCTTGGAAGTGGAGCAGCCAAACAAGAAATAAAACCAGTGAGGGGCAGCTGGGAGCTGCCAAATGTCCGGGCCCTTGAGCTTCACACGCTGTGTGAATAACGGGGGATTTGAGGGCGGCAGCAGGGACAGATTTTTGTGACCGTGAGACTGCCCTGCATGCCACACACCAGTAGGAGCCGGGCTGCATGTCCATCAAGGGGGAAGCATCTTCTGAGTCCCCAGCCCTGATCTCCTCAGCTCCTGTCCCACCGCAGCCTCCCGCTCCCTTTCTCTAGAGGGGCTTTTGGGAAGGGGTGACAGTTACCTGTGAGCCGACGGAGGGTGGGTCTTGTCATCCCTCATTTGTCATCCGTCTGCTCCAGGTACAGCGTGCTGATGGGGGAGAGCAGGACAGGCTCCAGGCTGGCACCAAAACCAGTACCAAACCCCCTCTGAACAGCTACGGCGTCCGAGCACTGAGCCTCTGTGCCCGGGGCAAGGAGCCCCCCAGTAACAGGGGCTTTGGCTTCCGATCGGGCAAGGCACCTCGCACAGAGTGGCTTTCAGCAGTGAGAAAGAAACAAGCACTCTATTTGGAAACATTCTGGAAATAAAGGTAAGAAGAAAACTATTAAAATGAGAAAAAGATTGAAAAAATGTCATCCAAGTATGGTCAAGCGCAGCTTTTGCTTAATGTCGTTTCTTTTATCAAACGACCTTCCATTTAAAAGCACAGTTTATGCCTAAAGGAAGAGTAAACCTGGGTCTTTCGCTCTGCTGCCATGTTAAGATGTCCCCTGCAAAACCTGTGACTGTCTGCTTGGCTGTATTGCCAGCACACCTTTGTTAACTTGTTAATTTTGGGATCCGTGTGTTTCCATGGCGGGGCGGGATGCTGCAGGCATCCTGCGTGAGGCAGCTCTTCCAGCCGACCCCGTCCCCGTGCCTGTGCTCCCGCCGGCAGGTGCCCTGCGGGGCCGTGGGATGGAGCAGCGCTTGCAAAGAACAGGCCCAGGAGCTCTGACACTGGGGAAAAAAATGTTCTGAATCAGTTTAAAACATATCTAAAAACTAGTTTAACCTTATTTTCCACAGCGTGGCCTGAATCTACTTTAAAAATGTGAAAATGCTGCCCGTCAGCACAGCGTTTTTACGGTTGGTGAGCTGAAGAGATGAAGTGAGCTGGAAGCACTCTAATCTTTGCTTAAAACTGATTTGGAGCTGGTCTTCCTTTCCTAGCGTAGCATCTTCCCATTGCTATCGCTAGCAAGCATACTGTGACTTTGCCAGGCACTCTCAGGTTAGGTGCTTAAATGGAGATAAATTCAAGGTGGAGAATAAGCGTATCGATGACTCCTGCAAAACCACGAACAAAGATAAAGCAGCTTCAAAATTAGCCATTCAACAAAGATAAAGCAGCTTCAAAATTAGCCGTTCAGTGTCTTTAACTGTGTCTTTAAAGACACTTTAAAAGTGTCTTTAACTTTACTCAGATATGAAAGTAGAGCTTTTACTCTGCGTGTGCTCCTGAAACCATAAGTATGTGTCTCAACATTGCCATCAGGAAAAAAAAAGCTAAAATTCAGCCTCAGGAAACAATATAAAAAGAAATAATAACTTCTTACAGCAATGTCAGGTTGATGAGCAACCCACAAAGATCTGTACAAACTGGGATCCCTCCGTGGCAGGTCTCAGACTCTCGGCAGGAGCCCACGCTCCGTGTTTGGCCGGCGCGGTCTGTGAGCAGCAGAGCAAACAGAGGCTGCAGGGCATGCAGCCAGTCAGGTCCAGCCGGGCTGGATTTTGCCCAGTGCAGTGTAGGTGTGTTTTAAATTTTAATCTAATCTAAATCTTTTATTGGATTTCTTAAAAGGCGGAAAATATTTACTAGTTTGCCTTGCTAGTCTCTCTGGATTTAAATGTATTTTGACAATACCATTTTATAAAGCAGAGACCAATCTTGAGGCTGTTCCTTGAGATGGGTTTGTGTTCACACCCGGCAGCAGAAGGCTTGGGCAGAACAGCCGCGCGTGTTTCACGTCTTCCCTTCAGCCGCGGGTAATTAAGCAGAGGCTAAGGTCGTTGCTCCTGTTTTCGTTATAGTCCTGCCCAAAAGCCAGCAAGCATCTGATGCAATGTAAGCTCCTCCTGTGAATAAAACCTTCTGCAGGCAGCTGTGGGTGGGAACCTCTGTGGCACGAGTTCACGGAGGATGAGCTGATGATGTGCTGGTGGGTTGAGGGTCCGGGAGGTCCAAGTCCCAGGACACGTGTTCCTTGGAGAACAAAACGCTTTCACACGAGAGTAGAGCCTGCCCTCAAATCTTGGAGGAAGCAGCTGAAGTTTCCTCCTTCCAAAGCACTCTCCCATCGAGACCTCATGGTGTTAGGCTACGTCTAACATCACATCTAATGGGGTGTGCGATGAAAATCATCATATCTCTTTGCATCATAAAATCTATTGGTTTTACACTGTTATCAAACTCTGTATATACTACTCAGGAGATTTTGCAGATCTGGCCAATAAATCAATGAATCAGTATTACCTTTTTTTTTTTTTTTAAACGTAAGAAGGACACAGTTGCTCCCGCTCCCCAAGAGGCCTGTGCGCACCCTTCAGCTTCCTTTTGTACCTTTGGTAGTCCATCTACAAGTAACTTTGTTTTAATCTAGTTTCTGCATTGCTGAGTACTGCTCACTATTGAAGTATTGCTGTATTATTTCAGCACTTTCTTCTAGGATGCTGGGTGATACGCAGCATTAATCTTTAATTCTGTTCTCCTACAGTTTAAATCTGAAAAATGTTCTAAGCAGCTGACTTGGGTTTGTTTTGAAATCCCGCCTCGGGATATTAAGATTTAGTAACACAAATTCTCACCTTAAAATAGCAGCACAAAATGTTCTATTTACTCACAATATGAATGTAAAATATGCAGCATCCCTCACATGAGCAGTGGAAGCATACCGATAGTATCTGAAAGACAAAGGAATCTGGTGGAAAAAACCAATCCGTTGTCCTTCCTCTGGCGGGCAGCAGCACTGAACAGCATTCCTGGTCCTGGGAAAGGTGCTGCTGGTTCCAGGTCCTCTTCTCCTGCCCCCTCCGATAGCCTGGTGCACTGTAATACTTTCTACTTTTAAGAAAAATTGTCTTAAGCCCTGTATTAGCTTGAATACTGAACACTGTCAGCCTGAATTCTACCTGAAACCAGCTCAGGTGTGTACTGCTTGGTCCGTCTAGTGTTGGCAAAGGTTTCAGACAATGTTAGAGGCAGACCAGTTTGCACACAAAACACCGACTTCCTAAAAAGTTGTCTTGTTATTTACTTCAACATCTGCACAGCCCGGGGGCCAGTACTCCGTAAGTCACCGCAGGCACAGCCGTGTCCAGCAGGTCCAACTCACTTAACCCTCCTGGGGCCAGAAGGGACGTGACAGAAACATTCACCACTTTTGGAACTGCAAAGCACAAACCTCCCCCTTGTACCCTCTCAGGAGATGAGGGGCTCCATGCCATTTCACTGCCACGGTGTGACCCTGCAGAACATCTGCTCTGAATTTCTCCTGGGTTATAAAACCACGGTCGTGCCATCACATAACTACGCCAGTTCTGCTTTGCTGGCAATACAGGTACGCTTGGCGTAATACAAACCTTGCCTCTCAACGTAGCTGTTTTGATGCCTTTTCTCCCACTTGCAGACAGCAGCATGAACCTGAAGAAGTACTTCATTCGGGCGCTGCACCGCCTGCAGAAGGGCCCTGGTTACACCTACAAGGAGCTGCTGGTCTGGTACTGCGACAACACCAACACCCACGGCCCAAAGCGCATCATCAAAGAGGGGCCAAAGAAGAAATTAATCTGGTTCTTCCTAACGCTGCTCTTTGCGTCTCTGGTCTTCTGGCAGTGGGGCATCCTCATTAACACCTACCTCTCCTATAACGTCACGTCATCTCTCTCTATTGGCTTTAAGACCATGAAGTTCCCAGCAGTCACGGTCTGCAATGCCAACCCTTTCAAGTAAGTTTTTCTTCACCTAATTTACCCAGTCGTGCTTTAACACCCTCCGTTGTATGGCTAGCGCAAGGTACTGTGGAGCCATTCCTGTCTCAGATACCATGTTAGGAGCATCAATGGAAATGATCCTTTGACTCACCAAGTGGCACTAAAAACCAAATAAAGGAGGACAACATAAAGGCGAACGGCTCAGGTCCAGAGGAGGGTCGGTGTGCCTGCGACTTCGCCTGGGTTTCCTTACTGTATCAGTTAATCTAATGATGGGTATTGCCTCCCTGTAAACTTTCCCTGGCTCAGGGAAAACTCGAAGTTCAACTCACTTGTCACAACCAAAATCAGTCTCTCGATCTTTCCCCACAATTCTTTTCTTTCTCCTTCCTCGCCGTGAACGTACCTCTTATCGCTTACACTCCAGCCATTAAGAGCTTGTTAAACAGTAGTATCGGCTGGGAGCTGCAGTTATATAACTCGATCGTCATTTCAAAGGAGTAACTGATTTTTGTTAGAGTTGCTTCAAATTTATATCCATGCAATAGTGTAGCCCAAGGCAAGATGCTCTCGACCGACACACAGGAATTACTCTGGTGTTTTTTCATCTCTGCTTGCTAGAGATGTTTTGTGTAAACTATAGTGAATTACTGAAATACAACCAATTCACTTCTGCACTGACAGAGCATTGTTCACCATCACAGCGCTCCCTGTTTATCCTCCCACTGGTTTTCTGCCCGACTGCAGGCTGCTGGGATGCCTGTGTCCGAGGTGGCCGTGCTCTGCACGGAGGCTCCCTTCGTTCTCCAGTAAATCTTTAGGCAGCGATCCGAGGTCCCCAGGAAGGTCCAAGCCAGCGGAGCGGCAGATGGGCTGCTGCACGTCCCCACCGCCTTGACACTGCTTGGTAACCGCCCTTTGTCCTGCAGATACTCAGAGGTGAAGCATCTGCTGAAAGAACTGGACAGGCTCATTGAAGTGGCGCTGGAGAGGATCCTGCAGCCCGCGCCGGGGAACAGCAGCGAGAACGCTTCCCCGCCGCTCGACCTGGAGCTCTGGCACCAGATACCGCTGGTCCTCATCGACGAGCACGACAAAGACAACCCCGTCATCGTGGACATCTTCGAGAGAAATCAGACTGCTCTGGGCAACCAGACTGCTGGGGGCAACCAAACTGCTGCGGGCAACCAAACGGCTGCTCCACCTGCCCAAGCCAACACGACATCAGAAGAAAAGAAGTACAAGCTGGCAGTGAAGCTGGTGAGAGGGGTCCCGTGGGAGGCAGCCGGGAGGGGGGAGGGACGAGCAGCGCTGGGTGCCTCGGCAGGGATGCAGCGTGGAGATCGCTGCCTCTTCCCCACCAGCTGCCCACAGCCGCTCTGCCTCAGGGCTCTGGTCCGGCTGCGCCGGGGCCGGGGGCTGCCCATGCTGGTGGCATCCTCGGTACAGGGCAGTTTGCAGGTTATGAGATGTTATTTCAAGGCTCCAGGGCTGTTTGCTTGTTTTTTTGAGGAAGGCAGCACCGAGGTATTTTAAGATGTTTCTAAATTTTCAGAGGGGGTCTGATCCCCTGCAGGTTACACAGCCAGATATCCAGCTGAAGCTGCTGGATTTCTGCACATGGGGCCTGCAGCAGGATCATACCCTAAATATGCTTCCTTAAATGAAAGGAAACCCAGCAAGGAGCCATGTTGTTAGTCCATGATGAATGTAGGTAGCTGCACAGCATCAGCAAGATCAGCAGGTTCCTCATAGAAAAAGGGACTGACAGCGCGTAGCAGCCTAGCACTGCATCAGAGGTGCAGGGTGGATCCTGCCAGCGGGTCCGTCAGCCTCTGGCGAGGGGAATGCTGGAAATGCTGGGCGGCAACAGGCAGTAACCGAGCTGTGCACAGCGTTGGTCGGTGGAGTCTGCCCGCAGCGCAGAGGACAATGCCGTACATCCTCTGGGGTCACCCAGCGCAGCCCTGCTGCGGGCTGAGCCCAGGGCAGAGCCAGGGCAGAGGTGCTCCGCGCAGGCTCCCTGCCACCTTCACCTTTTCCTCGGGTCCGGCACCCAAAATGCCAGGGAGAGGCTGCGGCTGCTGCCCGTGCCCCTCTCCTGCTGTGGTCCTCAGCACAGAGGCACATGGTGGTCTCACGACCCCCCACCCTCTGCTCCCACGGAGGCTTCAAGGACCCTGCCTGACCAGACCTTGGAAGCTGGGGCGACTCCAGCCTTAAAAAATTGGCCAAAAAGTTATGTTTTCTGTAAGCTTGTGGAGGTAACGCTGGGACCGATGGAGAATCTGCCCAGCTGGGAAACCTCCCTGGGGAGGGACCCGTGGGTAAACACATGCAGATGTGACAGCTGGCTCCGCAGCACGCGCGCCGTACGTCCCTCCTGCCGTCCCCACCCGCGGGACGGGCTCAGACCTGCCTGCTGTCTGTCCCCAGTGCAGCCATCAGGGCTCCGACAACTGCACCTACAGGAACTTCACCAGCGCGGCACAGGCGGTGACCGAGTGGTACATCCTGCAGTCCACGAGCATCCTCTCCAAAGTCCCGCTGCAAGAGAGAATCAGGATGGGCTACCAGGCAGAAGACATGATCCTGGCGTGTCTCTATGGGGCCGAACCCTGCAACTACAAGTAGGTGCATACCGAGCTCCCTGCCCTTTTCTGTCACATCAGGAATGGTACGGGATGCTAAAGGCATGACAGCCTTTTTCTTTTCTCTTTTTAAGGTATGTATCAGTTAATAGAGAGATTTCTGCTGGTCCTTAACTCTAACAACATTTCCCAGAGGGTTTCTGGATGCGATCCTGGCTGAAACGGGTTATTTTAGGATAGCGCTGGCTTGAGTTTTAGTTTTGGATGGGCCGTTCTGCTCATGACATATCGAGACTAAGCATCCGTGGGACCTTCCCAGGGTATTTAGTGATAACCAGCTGCCGGCCCAGGTGCTGAGTCAGCGTACCCCTGGCACAGCAGTGCAACCCCCAGTTACAGCCCCCACTCTTTTTACACAAGGCTCTGAGAAATGCATTTTAGCCATCGTTGTTTATTACGAATGCCAAATTTCTATATCCAGTTTTGACAAACATGAACACATAGCAGCAGCCCAGGCTGCAAGGAGTCCTGCCCCTTCTGCAAAGAGGCCAACGGAGACTTATTATCAAAGAACGAGATATAACACCGGCTAAAACCTGTTACCATAGCTCAGATCAAGCAATTATTTCTCTCATCTGTGTGACAGACTATTCCTTTCCATTCTGACAAAGCGTTATCCCCAGTGGCTGTGTCTCAGTGCACACCAGTACCTTGTTTTGCTTTTTTTTCAACAGCAGATTGATTGAAATTATATCAGCTGAAATTTCTATACAGGCATTCAACAAACAAAGCAATTTAAAGTGAATCCCAGACATATGCATTATTTTATAACCCTTTAGTCCTCCCTGAGAGTCACAGTTTTATGTGCATGATTCTTCCAGGAATTTCACCCAAATCTATCACCCAGACCACGGTAACTGCTACATCTTTAACTGGGGCATGGACGAAGAGGCTTTGAATTCTTCCAACCCTGGAGCCGAGTTTGGTAAGAGAGAGCCCTGCTAAGGAGGAAGGAGCTAAAGGAACAGAAGTGCTGGGAGTTGTTTCGTCTCTCAGTGGCCACTTCTGTTATATATGACAGATCTATGATTTCTGTGTCTCTGGAGCACTACAGCAGGGAGTAACGGCTTTCCAGAAGGGGATAAGCCCCCAAAAGGGAAATTAGTGGAAACAAGTAATGTGACTACAGATGTTACACGTAATAGAAGTGCAACATCTGGATAGCCGAAATATCTGAGGCAGTGTCTGAATATTCACTCAGATATTTCCGTTCTGTGCATTCGCCATCATGCGTATTTATGCACAGGTAAGGCTGCTGTGACAGCCAGGCCCCGGCCCTTCCCCAAGGAACAGAGATTTCTGTGCACAGCGAGAAGAAAATAGACTCCGTTTTTTTTCCGAAGACTCGCATTTCAATACAATTCTTGTTCTGAGTGTTTTGTCTGGTGTCCCAGGGCTGAAGCTAATTCTGGACATCAGCCAGCAAGACTATATCCCCTACCTGTCATCTGCTGCCGGGGCCAGGCTCATGCTGCATCAGCAGAAGAGCTTCCCCTTCCTTAAGGATCAGGGCATCTATGCAATGGCTGGGACGGAAACCTCCATCGGCGTGTTAGTGGTATGTGTGGCATTCCTCTAGAGCAGATTGTCTGAGAATATTGTTATCTGATGGGACTGCAACCAAGTTTGTTTTAAGTCTTGGCTGAACTGGCTCAAACCAAAAGAGTCAAGGTGTACGCTAGCTGTGGGCTGGAACAATTTATGGAGACTTTTATGTAATTGTCCTGGCAAAGTGCTTTATTGAGCCAAAATACTGAGCTCGGGTCATTGTTCCCTCTTCCTTTAGCATGTCAGAAGGTGCCTTGCTAAAACATGCTGCTCTTGAACACCCTCATCTGCCTCGATCCGCCCTGGGGAAGGGGCTGCATCTCTTTCAGCTCTGCCGCCTACAATTCTTTGATTTTTTTTTTCAAAGCCAGCAGGGAATACAGGAATTACAGAGTCTCTGGAAAATGGGCACCAGGGACCTGGGGAGGAGCGATGACTACTGAAGTTTGCCATTTTGGTTTTCTTTCAGGATGAACTGGAACGGATGGGCTATCCCTACAGTGACTGCACCATGAACGGGTCTGATGTCCCCGTAAAAAATCTCTATAGCCAATACAACACTTCCTATTCCATACAGGTAAAACACATTTTTAAATCAAACAAGGCTGTTTAGGAAAAATCATCAAAGCAATTAAAATTTTTGACTAGCGTGCAGGATTACTGGAGCATCAGCAATGATAAAGTAGAAAGCATAACCAAGTACAGGAACCTTCTTTTCTGGTAATAAACCAGCACTCGAGTCTGAACACTCAGTAGCCCCAGGTTTGGAAACGATCCCAGTGGATCCAGTGGAAATAACTGTGTATTGCAGGAGCAAGACCTAACGATGCAGGTATTAAAACTTGCATCAAAAGATAAGGAACATTGCTTTGGCAGGCAGCACAGTTCAGCGTAATCTTTGGTTTTCATTCTCATACCAAAACAGCTCGTACGGCCAGGAAAGGGCATCAGCAATTATTGTTCCCTTAGCCAGCTATGAATTTTGTTTCATTTTGAGAGGGATGAACACGGTCATTTCTGTCATTTTCTCAAAAGCCGAAACACAGCAAACCTCCCAGGATCTCTGTTGTTACACGGGACCCTGCTATGTGTGACCTACCAGCAAAGAGCTAACTTGCAGACAAAAAAGCAAGTATTTTTACCTCCACGTACGAGCGCAGTTTAATGCTGGTCCTTTCCTCGTACCCTGTCGCCTCAGAGCTCGGCTCCCCGAAGTGAAGGGTTCCCACGCATCCTGAAAAGCAGGCAAAGCGAGAGCAGGGTGTGCCTGGGCCCCTTGGTCCCTTAAAAACCACTGGTTCTTCAGTTCCCCCCCGTTTTGGCTCCCCGAGCAGCCCCGGTTGCCGTCACGCACCAGTCGGTTACTGCCTCGGCTCAGAGGGCAGAACCGCAGCACCGGCCAAGGGGACCTCGTGCCCCCGTCCTGCCCGGCCTCACCCCCTCCCTGCACTGCTTTCACTGGGGGGTGCTGGGGACCGCTGGAGCCCCAGGGTGACAGAGCCAGGAGGCAGCCCCCTCCTTCGGCGCAGGGCAGAGCCTCTGGAACGGGCTGAAACTCCCAATAGCTTTGGCTAATGCCAGTTCCTTAATAATGTAGGGAACGCTGGGAAAACACATCTCCCAGAGCGTCCAGTGGGGAGCGCGGAGCTCCCCGTCCTGCCCAGGGTCTGTGCAGGGACCTCGGGCAGCAGCGGGAGGGACCCGACCTGCTCCCAGGCGGCTGCAGGCGCAGCGCTCGCCCGACGCTCCTCTGCCGGCTGCCCACCTAAGCCACAGGAGGCTGCAGAGCAGTTTTTCTCCTTTAAAAAGAATAACTGCTCGTGCCACGTCATTAAGGCAATTAATTTCTTTTTCAGCTGTGAGAATACCTTTTTCCCCTACAATTTCCACGCTTGGCTGAAATCTTTTAATTATAGGTAGATCAACCAGCAAGGGGTGGACTCCAGTCATTACCCGTGTCCAACAGGCTAACTCCCCCGAACTCAAGGGGTTATTGAGCAATTGCCACAGCTGCGTGTGCCGCTGTAACCGGGACGGCAAAGCTGCTCCCTCCGCAGCAACTGCAGGCGCCGTCCTGCAGCGTGAAGGGTGGCTGCGGCTCTGGGGAGCTTTTGCCGAGATGTTAATGTGACACTTTTCATGAGATAGGCTGGCCTCTGCTGCTCGGGGTGCTCTGGGAGGATATAAGCTATCTATCTGGAGAACTGTTGGGCTCCGGGTTTTAGCCGTGGCGTTGCTCTAATGTGCAAAGCAGCTCGTATTTTGTGTCCGCGAGAAATATTTATCCCTGACAAGAGAGGAATATACAGGAGGGATTCCTCTCCTGAAACTCCTACTCTTTTTAATCCTTTTCTCTTTAAGGGAATCAAGTCATTTTTCACCCTGAAAATGCCTGCTTGTTTTGCATAGGAAATGAAGACAGACCTTTGCCTTTTCTTCACTTTAAAATTGGGATGAGAAAGTTGAGTGTTTGTAAACCTTGAATCTGTAGAAAAATACAGTGTAAACATTAAGCACTGGTTAATTTGTAACAGGCTATAACATAAGGGAGAAGCATTTCTGGAGGGTGAGATCTGGCAATAAGGAAAACATCAAAACCATTTTGGGGGTTATTTACAAAAGCCTGAAGAATACACCCCAGACAAGTGGGAAGGCTTTGGTCTAGCAGGGTTTTTTATATTTCTGCCTTTATATAATTATAACAATTGGACCACTTTACCCTACTTTTTAAGATGCTTGTATAACGTTTAAGCAAATACTTGAAATGATTGCATTATTACTTAAAAGTTGCTAAATGCTGACTGGGGTTCTATGTCCACATAATTCACGTCACTTCAGAGACCTCCCAGCAAAATCCGGCTTTTCCATCACTCCCTGATTGCAGTGAACTCTGTAAGCATTTTGTATCACACAGAAATGCTCTGGTTGTTCTACCTAGCTGGAGCTGTTAAATTTAATTATCTTTTCATAGACTTTGTTATTGCTTTGTGCACTGTTTCATCCAGAATCCCACTCCAATCTCAGATGATTAACTTCATGCCTCACTGAGCTAATGGCAGCGCTGCAGCCTGGCTCGCACGCTGCCGAAGCTGCAGCTGCAATCCTTTCAAGGAGAGAAGCAGATGCACAGATAAGATAATTCAGATTTCTAAAACCTGCTCTTTATGTTGAAGTATTTTTAAAGTCCTGGCTTTAAAGTGGAAACCAGCCCTTTGTCAGTATGTCGTGTAAAGCCTGGAGACAACAGCAGTGTCTATGGGTGTAGTAGAACATTTTTATTCCTTTTTGGAAACTTCATATTACTTCCGTGAAGCTCTAAATAGTGAAGAAATGAGCAGTTTCTTGTGCGACTGGGAGCAGGCACTGAGTTCCCTTCTGCTCCTGCAAGGTGACTTACCCACGGGCAGCTTACAACTAAGATGTACCTTAAAATCTGGAGGAGCAGCAGTAAAAATGCATCATAAAGAAAACCGTAACTGCCGTGCAACCCTACACATGGCAGCTTATCCACCCGCCTCGTCTTGCCGTTGTAAAGCCAGTGCGACTGGCTTCCAGAGCCTGCCGTGCCGCCTGGCGATGCTCGGTGCACGCTGGAGGATGGGATCATGCCATTGCACGGGGATGGGCTCTGGCAGCACCCGCTCCCTCTGCGGCTTCAGCCTTCTCTGTGTGCAGCCACAAAACCATCTGTTCAGCGCAAAAGAGAGAAAATACCTCAGGGCCGAGTAATTCTCACAGCCAGCGTAGACTCCAGCAGCAGAGGTGCACAGGGGGGGTTCAGCCCACGTCTAAGCAGCCCCCTGTTCCTTTTTTCAGGCTTGCCTGCGCTCTTGTTTCCAAAATCACATGATTGAAATCTGTGGATGTGGTCACTATATGTTTCCTTTACCTGAAGGGGTGAATTATTGCAATAACGAAGATAACCCAGGTTGGGGTAAGAACACGAACAAAACTAAATTGCACAGCTTCCCCAGGGTCCTGGCACGCAGGAGGGGCGGGAGCGGACACGAGCTTTATTTGTAAATGCAACAGGTGAATGGCTTTTGCCTATGTAAAGTCTCCTCATGGCTGTTCGGGTCAGTGCCGGGGAGAAGGGGCGAAATCTTGGTCCTGGCCGTGGGCTGAGGGTCCTCAGCTTCCGCGCTGCCCCAGGGGAGGGCTCTCCCGGGGAGCTGGCTCCAGCCGGGGGAGGTAAGGGGACCCTCTGGGTACCAAAGGGAGAAAAAGGGGTAATGCTCTAGGCCTCCATGCCTGAAGAGTTCAGAGACAAGCTGGCCCGAGCAGGGGCAATGGGCTCCTGCAAGGATACGCAGAGGTGTGTGGGGGTCTGGTGCTCCCCCACAGGCAGGCAGGGACCGGCAGCACGTCTCCACACAGGCGGCTCCGGCAGGCACCCCTCCTACCCCTGCAGCTGGGCAGGGCTGTGCCAAAAACACTGACATCGGGCAAGCTGACTCTAGAGAAACAGTCTACAGAAAAAAAATATTTTTAATTTATTATTAAATTGTCTGACGGCTTTGCCTGAGCTTCTCAAGGCAAGGAAGGTTAGAGGGGAAGACAGCAAACCTGTGCAGCAGGCTCATACCTAAATATATATTTTATTAAATGAAATTGATATAATCCAGTAAGCGGGGTCCTTATCTAAACAGATGCTTTGATTTTTTTGTTTTCACCAAACAGCATATTGCTATTCATCACTGAGATCAAGTATAAGACACAGACAGATTTGTATTGACTCTTGTAAGGAAACATGCAAGTAAGTACGTAAGCTGTTTCTGGCAGCTGTAAAGGTGGAGGGGATCCTGCATTTCATCTCCCATCAATTCTGACCTTTCTAAAATGGCAGCGAATCATGCGGGCCTGCTTTTCTGCATGAGAACTGAAGTTCCAGTGACTTCAGAGGAGGGGAAACTTCTGTACCAATGTTCTCCCCTCCTCTCCCTAGCGACACGCAGTATAAGATGACCATCTCCATGGCAGACTGGCCGTCTGAAGCTTCGGAGGTAACACTGATTTCTTGTTTTGAAACATTCATTAATAATTACCTGTTCTTAGCCACATGAATCACTCGGTATTTTCAGAGCTAATGTCCAGGTAGCAAGTGCCTCTTTGCTAAATTACACATTTTCAGCATGCAAACAAACACGAGTGCCAGGGCATGAGACAGGAGGAGGGACACCCCCAGGGCGGCTCCTCCACCCCGGGGGTCCTGCACCGAGTCCTGCAACTCCCTTGCAGCTCCCCTGGGTTCCTGCCCCAGCAGGCGCCCAGAAAGGATGCTTCTGCTCAGTTCTGAATAAGTTTTGTTTTCCTAGGACTGGATTTTCCATATTCTGTCTTATGAAAGGGATATGTCAACAAATGTGACTCTGGACAGGTAAGTGAAAGGAACAACCACTTTATCTTCTCTATTGAGCCTGTTAACATTAGATTAACATGAACCTTGGCGATGGGCCAGAGCACATGTGTGCTAATGCAAAGGGAGGACAAGATTTGGCACATGTTTGCCTGGAAGATACATAAAGCAAATCTGAAACGCACTTCGTGCATATCCTCTGCTCTCCGTAGTGACAAACTGGGTCAGGCAAACGTGAGTTAAGTTAAAATCAACATTAACCGCAGCACTCCTGATCAGTTGCATATAGGAATCTGGAAGCTCTGAAGCTGTGAACTGCCAGGGTCCAGCTCCTGGATTGTAACGTTCATCCCTTCGTACTTAACGTCTTTGAATCTGCCAACAGCAGCAGCAGTAGGGGGGATGCACAAAAATTAGGGTAACTGCTGAATTACCCTTTGAAAACCTAAACCCTGAATTAGTGGGAAAAGAGGAGGGTTTTTTCCCCAAGGAAAAAAACCTAGAGAATCAGGAAATGGTTTCACAGATACTGGCTGATCTGTACACATTAAGTCCCCTGTAATGCAGCTGGTCGTGACGCAGCCGCTCTGTGCGTGCACACAGGAACACGAGGCGCAGGGCACCGAGGAGGGGCAACGGCCCCTCTAGACCAACCAGGGCAGCTGGGAAAAGCAAAGCAAACAGCCCCAAAGAAGCTTCCACGTGCGCAAGTGCTGCTTCAGGAGGAACCTCAGAACCGCGTCTCTCTTCCCTTCGCAGCCAGTGGCACTTTTTAACTTCTTCCACCTGCCTGGCAGAGGTTTCAGCGGGCACTCGTGAGCAGCTCCGGCCGGGCTGTGCGCAGCCCTTCCCGCAGGCAGGCGTTGGAGCGGAGGCGCTGGATGCCCGCAGGCCGGCTCTGTGCTGAGCTGCCGTTTGTCTCTTACAGAAACGGGATCATCAAGCTGAACATTTACTTCCAGGAGTACAACTACCGCACCATCTCGGAGTCTGCCGCCACGACGGTGAGTGCCCATCCCTGCCCCTTCTGCACAGCGCCCGGTGAGCAGACACAGAAACAAGTCACCCCAGATGCACAGGCAGGGCTCAGCTCCTCAGGGCTGATCAGCCCTGTCCGGGGACACTCCTCAGCGGGAGTCTGCTGAGTCCCTCGGTGCTGTTGCTTCACATGTCCGTGGCAATGAAGTGGACGAAGCTGCCTCCACTGTCCGGTTCGCAGTCCCCAGTTCGTTCTTCCCCTCCACCTCCCATCCCCATCGCCAGTGCGAGGCGGGTCACTGAGAAGCAGCACCAGGGAGTGCAGCCCCTGCAGGGCAGCACCCGCAAGGCGAGGGACTCGGCAGGCAGGTCCCTGGGGCAGGAGGGGCAGGAGCATCACCAGCACACAGGGTGATCGGCGGGGGCTGATGAGGGACCGGGGTCGCCACCTCGGCTCACTCCTGCTCTCCTCCCCGCAGATCGTTTGGCTGCTGTCGAGCCTGGGAGGCCAGTTTGGGTTCTGGATGGGGGGCTCGGTGCTGTGCCTCATTGAGTTCGGGGAAATCATCATCGACGCGCTGTGGATCACCGTTATCAACATGATCAGCTGGTGCAAAGGCCTGAAGCAGAAGCGGGTGCAGGCGCGGTACCCGGATGCACCCCCGACAGTGTCGGAGCTGGTGGAGGCTCACACCAACCTGGGCTTCCAGCACGAGGACACGGATGCCCTGCCCAGGGACGAGGTGCTGCCCCCCGAGCCCGGCACCCCCCCGCCCAACTATGACTCGCTGCGCGTCCAGCCCCTCGACGTCCTCGGTCCAGACAGTGACGCAGAAACCGAGTGAGCAGCGCACCCTGTTACCTCCCAATGGCCGCCGACGGCAGGCTGCCATCGCCACGCTCAGTCTGCCACTTGCTGAACAATCTTCTACTCTCTGTCAAAATTGGGAAGGAACCAAAAAGCCCTGGCTGTCCTCCCCTCCCCGACTGAAAGTGTTCACTGTGAAGACACTCTGTCTAATAAACTCTGTAATAAATCTCATAGAGTCAGCGTCAGGCTCTGGCTTTAGTATGTAGAGCTTCTATACATCAGCATTGCTATATAATCGTAAGTCACCATTTCTTTTTAACACGTGGGTGGGAAGCACTTCCTAGCGAGAAGATTGGGGCGCGAGCAGCTGTGAAGGGCCGCAGCCGGCGTCTGAGGCAGGGCTGCGGCAAGGCAGGCGGTGCTGGGGAGAGGCCAGGACGTCCCGATGGTGGATGCATGGCTGTGGCCCATTGGATGCTGAGACACGGCACGGTGTGTGCCGCAGCTGTGCTGCACCGTGGGTCGGACCCTTGGGTTGGGACCCAAGCTACGTCTGACTTCTGAGGTGGCAGTATTTCCACCCCTAAACAACTACAATGGAAACAGAGCGAAAGAAAGCCCTTCCTTTGCTTCCAGAGCCCGCGGGTGCTTTGTGTTTGGTGCTCAGGGTTTGTTAATGCTCACCCCGCAGGTGAGCACGGCTGTTAACGTGTGTTGGAGAGAAATACTCCAGCCTCCATAAAGATTCAGGTGGGGAGGAAGTGCCAGGCCGTTTAGCAGTACCACTCTTGGCAATAAATAAATTAATTTAAAAGTTGCCTTTAAAGTTTCCTGTTGGCAGTGGGTGCAGTTCAGTGCTGGCAAAGGCTGACGGCCGCGGCTGGCAAGAAGGGGGGGTGCTGTGCATGCCCTGACATGAGGGCGGCCGGGGGGTTTGGTGGTCCCCACGGGGCTGGGCTGAGCAGGACAGTGAGCCCACCCGGCCCCCGGCTGGTGCCGGCCCACAGCTTTCCCAGGAGCCCATCACAACCCACTGGGACCTGCCTTACTGAAGTACTTTTGCAAAACTTCAAGAGGAAACACGATCGTGTGGTTAAATCATACGACTGGGAACACGATGTTCTGGGCACGGCGCCCAGCGCAGCGCGAGCGCGAGGTGGTGGGGGCGGCCACGGCGGCGAGGGGGGTCCACGCTCCTTCTCTGCTTGAAGCTCCCCGAGCACACGGTGCTCTGGTGCAGAGCTGCCGGGGCAGAGCATGCCGAGGGTCTCTGCATCTCCCCTCGGTGGCAGTGGAAGCGGTGGGTCTCGTTGCTGACAACCATCACAAGCAGGACCGAAGAACTGGGCAACGCTCTGCCAGATGAGGTGCCGCCAGCACGGCTGATGCTGCCCTGCACGGGGGAACTTCCGCGTTCAAAATTCACTGAAAAAGTCAAACCCTTGATTAACAGTGTATAGCTGCTCTAACGCTGCTGCAGTTACAGTTACAAGATAATAATGCGCTAGGATATCTGCAGTCTTCATTTTATAAGACGATTCATGAATTTTTTAAATTTATGATTAGCTCCAAAAAGTAACAGCAACTTAAAATATAGATTTTCTATTACTTCTGATATATGGATTTTTACAGACATTTTCCAATTTCACTTGGTGATCATAAGAACAAGAAGCTTAACCACTTTCTTTAAATTAAATTCAGATTCTTAAATAATGAAGTCACCCCAGGAGCCAGAGCTACAAGCAGACGCACCAGTTGTGGTATCAAGCAGCGGCAGAAGCAGCTGCCACAGGTAGGCGGTTTTCTGTACGTGGGAGCCGTTCAGCTTTGGAAATCACATTCTCAGCCTGTTTGTGTTTTCTGCTGTTGAGAAAGAGAGGTGAGGATCAGGAGAGTTTGGTGCGTACCCGTGGCGTGCTCCTTCGCATCCTCCTGGGTTTCAGCTCAGTGACTGGAGTCCCACCACCTCTCGCTCAACATGTGCGGACGCTCAAAAAGGGGTAAGTTAACAAATCCTACAGAGCCAGACATTGGAGCTGATTTAGAAACCATGCAAAGGTTTCACCATTGCTTCTTGATCAGTGCTTCAGCAACCCACCTGGCCGAGACTTTTGATCCTGACAGTGCCCAGAAACTGATGCACAGGGAAAAACCTGCACCCGGGGCACGTGCAGAACAGCCCTTCCTCTGGTTCACGCTCCTGGCAGCCCACGGTTCATGGACCTCCTGAGCTGGAGGCTGCGTTTTAGTTGCCACTGCTTGAAAATCAGGAGATGAGGAGGTTATTTAGAAGCTGACGCTATGCCACTTGGCAGAGCAGTTTCATCAGCAGAACTTCCTACTCATTCCACCAACTAGTGTTTTACAGGCTTTTTAGCACCTGGAACGATTCCTCGAGAAGAAGTTTTGCCTCAGAAACAACATATGATTATCTTTTATACATGAAGCAAACAACTGACTTGCTAGATACATTGCACTGGGAGAAGGAGATGACACTTTCATCCTTTAGCACCAGATTCCTTATGAACTGGAACAGTTAAGTGAGGACTCAGCACACAGAACTCATCCCTTGCCACCAGCCTTACTGGGCTGGTGAGCAACCATACAGGCCTCTGATCTTAATTGGGATGAGGAGTGAAAAAATAGGGGTAATTTACAGTTATCTGCAGCCAGAGAATGCCTAAAATAAAAGATATGAGGAATAAAAATCCAGATTCAGGGAGCACCTTCTTAACGAGTCCACGTGCTGACCCCAGACCCTTATCTGTCGGCTAGTTCTCGTTTGCAAGACTGAATGACCAACAGCCCATGAACACGGCTGCTCCTTAAGGAAACCATCTAACCCTGGGTACAGCATGAGCTCAGCAAGCATATAAAACCAACCGGAGCAGTGACAGGGCAGACGAAAGGCGGTTAAGGACGCTTGTAAAGACAGAGGAATCCAGCTCTTACAAACTGTCCTAGACTTTTCCTGCCCGACGCCTCACTTCCCTTCTCCCTAAAGGGATGCTTCCCTCCCCGAGCACCGTAAACCCACGGTACAGCCTCCTTCACCAAAAAGGCGAGGCCCTGTAAAGAGGCAGCGCTTCATCCCACATCACGGCCGAGTTGGAAGCAAGCACCTGACACCCTCCCGATTCAACGTTCGGTGTACGCACGCAAGCCGATACTCGACGAAGACCTCCGAACGATTTTGCAACAGTGAAAAAACACTGCTCCCTGCAAAAGACACAATAGAGCAATTTGCTTAAAACACTAGGAAAGCTGAGAACAAAAACCTGGGCATCTATTCCCATGCTCTCACCAACAGACAACGCTGTCAACATCGCTACCAGTAAGTCCGGTCGTGTGGGAATCCCAGTAACATAAAGACAAACATTATTCAAACATAAAGATACTGCAGAGACATCAGATGCTTTTCCGTAGGGCAAAACAACCGTCGAGCCTGCTCCTGCGCTGATGAAATAGCGGTATCGGCGAGGAGCTCGCCGCAATGGGACGGGCTGCAGAGAGAGGGGGAAGGCAGAGCTGTTTTCCCAGGCCAGCCCTCTCCAAGGCACTCTGAAACGCAGCACCTCGGCTGCTGACATCCTGGGATGGGCTCTGGCATCTGCTGCCACGGAGCTGTAACGAACAGAAGAGGCAGCAGCAGGTCTCAGGCTGCAGAGCTGGCAGGGCAGTCTGCACCTTCCAGTTCCTCACACCTTCAGCCCCAGCTGGGTGCCTGCCCGGGGCCATCTGCCCGGCAAAATGCAATAGCAGTAGGCAAAGAACAGCCTTAGAAATCCTCACCTTCTAGTGACAAGGCAGAAGGATGGGAGAGGCACAGACAGTGAGATTCACCCGTCTCACACCAAGGGTAAATTGGAACAGCGTGTTCTTTGGCAGGACATGGACAGTTTACTATTCCGGTTACTGCTGGTTTATAGAGGGCGTCTAACAACTAATAAAAGTGGAAAGCGTCTCAGGTACTTGACTTCGGCTCTTTACCAGCTTGGCTCTCTCCCCCAAATGGACTGATTGCAGATAAGGGTATCTGTGCAAAGGGGTTTTTCTTCTTGCTGCAGCAGCAGCGCAGCCGCTGGAAGGCTCAACTGAGCACTGCATGGGAGCGGGCACAGCGCTGGGCGCAGAGCTCTCCAGGGGAAAGGCTTCACAGATCGCAGCCAAACGAGACACTTGAGAAGTCCCAACTCAATACAGTACCAAACTTCCCAGTCATTTGGGGATTTTTTTTTTTAATAGACTTTTCATACTCTGAAACAAAAGAGTAAACATCTAACTGAAAACCTTGCCAAGAAAAAACCCAAACATTCCAGAAAACACATTTTACTTCCCTGCTCTGAAATTTTTTTAGGTGCCAAAATTCACGAAACCCAAAACCTCTTTATAAAGCACCTCTGCTCTCCTCACCCTCCCCAAAACCCTTGCAGTTTTGGCAGTAAACCATCACCAAAGTCCAGCTGAGAACAGCAAAGGAATCCAATTTCACTCAAAAAACTGTATCGCTGGTAAAATATAAGCCTGTATCGGCATGTTACATGTGTGCTGTAACACACAGAAAAGATGTTGGTGTGTCAAAAAAAAGACGTGGGACTGCCTAGAAAAGAGGCAGATTTGGCAGCCGTGGCAGCTAAGCACACAGTCACCCGGGGGAGAACACATCAGACTAACGAGTCCCAAAAGGAGGACCACAAATGCAGCAGCGCTGGGACGAGAAATGACAGCTGTCCAAAAGACGGAGGCTGCCAGGGGAAAAACAGTCAAAAGCAAAGGCAGCAAAAAGATTTGTGGATCAGGCTAAACACTAATTAGAGCAGCCTGAACCAAGTTAAGGAAAGAAGAGGCAAGAACATGGACGCTGAGAAAAGAATTATTCCCCCAAGGCATCTGGTGGTGAAGAAAAGGAAAAACTGCAGAAGTAGATACAGATAAGGGGAAGAAAGATGTTTTTCCCCTCCAAAACAGAAGAGTTTGCATGTGAGGTTTTATCCAGCAGTCTCACACAGCTGGCATTCCGGTTTTGGGCCCTCTTTGTATTCCGTCC